TACTTTCTCTGTAGAAATTTTAGGCCTATGTTATGTAGTTTGACTATTGTCAATTAAATCGAATGCTTTGTATTGCATGCGCTTCACGTTTTTCGTTTTCAATCTCATAAATGGTTTATAATGACTTTTGCTAAAATTTCAATATCAAAAGTTATCAAAACAAATTCTATTTGTAAAAGCGTTGTATATTAAAAAGCTTTTTTTATTTTATTTATTTCGAGTTTAGGTCAAATAAGGAAGATACCCTTATTTGAATCCTCGCACACAATTTATTGTTTAATTAGGTTAAGTTCTTGAAAAATATTCGTATAAAATACTTATACAACGGGTTTTGGATACGAGGAACTCATTTTTGAAGTTCGTTTATTATTAGCTTTAGATTATATGGCGCTGTAGTAGGGCTGCCAGACGTCCCGCTTTTCCCGGACATGTCCCGGTTTTAGACTATTTGTCCCGGTGTCCCGGTCCAACCTTAAAATGTCCCGGGTTTCGTTTAAGTGTCCCGGTTTTCGATTTGATTGTACAAAAAAAATCACTAAACTAAGAGAAAAATGAAAATGAATATTTTTTATTTGATTATCGTTTTAAAATATTCGTATTTTAAAATAATATTTTCATACCACGCACGCGTGTTGTTGATTCAAACTCAACATTTGAATGCATATTTACATACATGTCTGTATATGAAGATGCTTGCCACAATTTGCTAATTACCAGAGGGTCAGGGTCAAATCCCATTACAGGCAGCATGGAATTTAAATATTTTTTTAACTTAATTATAAAAAAGCAGTGCAAAGCGCTTCATTTTAATATGGGCGTATTTGAATTGAATATTTCTATACGAAATTTGTTATACTTAAATGAATTACGAGTTGGGTTGGTGCTCTTTCATATGCGCATTTTTTTTAAATTTAGCACGCTTTCTTAATTGTAAACAGCGTCCGGACTTTACTCCGATCGGATAGATTTACTCCGATTTTTTTTTTTGAATTTAAAAGCTACTCCCTACTCCACTTGGCCCGAAATATCCGCAAATTTTTTTTACCTTTTTCCATTCACATTAGGAATATATTACAAAATAACTAACTTTTAAAATTTTTGTCCAATCACTTTTGTGGCACCAAGATTTTGTATAGATAGGTGTGACAGCAGTTATCTCTTTTACTCTGTTACCCTTTTTTTGCGGAATCACTTTTTTATTTTCAAAGCAAGGGATTGATTAAGGACCAGAAAAATGTTTTGTGTATGTGTATATGCTTAGCAATTTGGCAGAGTATAAGCTGACATTAGCTATTTTACCACACAGTAGTGCTGCTGCCGAAAGAAAATTTTCGGAGATGAATCTCATTAAAAATAAATACAGGAACAGGCTTAATGTCGAATCAGTTGAAAGCTCTATGTTCGCAAGAACTCTTATTAACAAAACGTCAGAAATTTACACGCCGTCCGATAATTTACGTTTTTTTTTAACATTCTAAATCAGTTTATGGAAAAACTCTAGCAAAGTAGGGGAAAATGGGAGAGTAAAAACGGTAATCTCTTTGTTAGCAAAGCTTAACCCAAATAATTTCTACTGACGTTTGCTTATAATTTGCTGTATTTGCGTATAATTTAGCAGATCGCCAAATGACAAAAAATTGCCATGTAAAAAAAAATGTTTTACCAGTTTTTACCAGAGAAGCGTTCCCGTACTTTTTGGCTTCTCACTCTTTCTCTAAGAGTTATTTTCCTTTTTGACGGTTTAACAGGTTTTATTCAGAACAGTTTAGGAACGAAACTAATTTTTTCTTATACTATTTAGAATGTTAATCTGCTCCGAAAATTTCATTTTTACTCCAATTTTTCGAGTCATTTACTCCCGAGTCGAGTTTCAGTAGTCCGAACGCTGATTCTAAACTTCTTTCTCTCAGTGCACCGAGATCATTATTGAAATATGTAGTAACATCTCTAGATAGTTGAACTTTGCACAAGCAATAGTTGATGATTAATATATGTATGTACCTAAATACGTTTAAAATGTCGTGCACAGAGTTTTACAATTATACTAAGGAAAAGACAGAAGTTTAAAAGCAATTTCACAGCAACGAAAAATATGATTCGATATTTTAATGTTATCTTCTACTTTTTTGTAATTTTTTTATTTCATGAAACCTAGAGTACTTAACAGTGCCGTACAAAAATATTTGCTCGGAGGCTCTTTCATCAGATCACAACTTCCATCCAGATCCTCTAGAAAAATTTTGAAAATGTAGCTTTTGAGCCAATTAATAAAGTGCAAGTCTGAAGTTGCCAGAAAATTTCGTTGTATTTTAGAATTTTTTATTTATTTTTTTTGCTGACAGTGTCTTCCATATAAAAAGAATTGTGGAACATAGTTTGTATGGAAGAACCTCTCAGTAAAACCAATACCAAAAATCAACTAAAATTTAATGGGCTGCAAAACTTCATTTTGAAAAATTTTATAAGTCTGATTAGAAAGTTGCAAATTTGTATGCAAATTTATTGAATTTTCCCGAGTTTAGCACAAAGTTTAGAAATTTTATTTTTATGTGTTTTGTTGTTGTACTTTAATGTTACCAAGAGTTTCACACTGGAAAATGAAAAACGCGTGTGTTTCTGCTGATAGTCGCTCGTTTTATTATTTAGGAAGAAAGAAAGAATTAGAACAAATGTCATTTACAATGGTATAATTGTAAAGGTTGGCAGCAGTGCGTTTAACCCATATGTGCACTGGCAGATATGAATCCAACATACCGCCACCTTTGAACTACCTGGATAAGTTCAACAAGGAAGAAATTACAATAAAGATTATTCATTTTAAAAGGGCAATTTTTATCTTAAATGGATATGTATTCGTAAGTAAGGCTCTACAAATTCTCCTCGGAGAACAAATCTCCTTTGGTAGGAAGCAGGCAAAGTCTCACGGTGGGCCGTACGAATTCTCCATCTGGCGTTCGCAGCGTGACCACTCTTACCAGACCATCGTCTCCAGGATGGCATTTTACCACTCTTGCAAGCGTCCACTTTGTCGGCGGGGTAGGCTTATCAAAGACGGCAACAACATCTCCTTCCTCGATATTTCGGGACGGTCGGAACAACTTGGCGCGGCGTTGCAAGCCTACGAGATATTCATCTCTCCATCGGCGCCAGAAATGCTGTCTCATTGCGGAAATTAATTGCCATCGCTGATGAAGGTTTCCACAGAACCCTTGATCCTCAGGTTCTGGGAGGGACTTCAGGGGTTCGCCCACTATAAAGTGCCCCGGTGTGAGTACCTCCAAGTCGCTAACATTTGTTGAGTTGTCGCACAAAGGCCGAGAGTTCACGCAAGCTTCAATTTCAGTCAATATCGAATTGAACTCCTCGTATGACAGGAGAGTATCGCCTAATCTACGTTTCAGTTGGTACTTAACACGTTTGATGCCAATCTTCCAGTATCCACCCATGTGGGGTGCGGTTGGGGGGTTAAAACGCCAATCAATGTTCAGATCGCTAAAAAGTGACCGAAATCTGTCATCAGTCATGCACTGTTGTAAACTGTTGCGCAGATGCTTTTCGGCGCCCACAAAATTTATGCCGTTGTCCGAGAACATGACCTTACAAAAGCCTCTGCGATTTATAAAGCGTTTAGAAAAGCGGGCGTCGACAGGTCTCCCACGAACTCTAGATGCATGGCCCCAGTGCACATGCAACTGAAAGAACATATATACCCTTTGATGGATTTCGCTCCTCTTCCACGTGTAAATTTGTACACATAAGGGCCAGCGAAATCTACTGCACTGCGGGTAAAACAACGAGCGTATGTAGCCCTAGCTTCGGGTAAATTGCCCATTGATTGTTGAGCTGTATTACGGTTTAATAAGGTACATTTGACACATTTATGGTATATGTTTCGAATTAAACTGCGTGCACCAACAACCCAATAGCGCCGCTGCAGGACAACCTGCATAATCCGAGGACCATCGTGTAGAGTAAATTTGTGAATATCTGCCACTATTAGCTTTGCCAGTGGAGAGCTCTTGGCCAATATTACAGGATGTTTTACGTCAGACGACACATTGGAGTGCTTCAGCCTGCCTCCAACACGAAGGATACCGCTTTTATCAACAAACGGCTATAACCACAAAAGACTGCTACGTCGTGGAAGTGGCTTTTTGGCGCTACAAAGATAAATTTCATTGGGAAAGTAGAACTTTTGAGTGTACCTTATGAGTTTTAGCTCTGCGACTTGGATTTATTTGCTGGTTAAGGGTCCTGTTTGCTTGCGAGGCATTATTTGCGCGCAACTGCGAACGTTGTCGATGAAGCGCATCACATAGGCCGTAACTCTTTTCAGCTTCGGGAATGAGGAGCATTTTTCGAGAAGGGTCCATTGCTGTGATGGTTCAGCTACATTTACGGCAGCAGTTTTCTTACGCAACTCAAGCTGAGTTATGTGATCTTGTCGCTTGACCTCATGTCGTACGTAGCTAGATGACGACAACCACGATGGACCGTGCCACCACAACTTATGTGACAGCAAACTCGATGGCGACATACCCCTGGAGGCACAGTCAGCAGGATTGCTTTCGGATCTGACATGCGCCCAGCATTAGGAGGGTAGTATTTCCTGCACCTCCGCCACGCGATTCGCCACGAATGTAGACCATCGGCTAGGGTGACTTTGTAGCCAAGCCAATGGCACAGTTGAATCTGTCCACCCGAACATGCGACTTTCTGGCGAGCACACACAAGCGGTGATCTGCTTAATGAGTTTTGCTCCTAGGCGAGCAGCGCACAGCTCCACTCGGGGTAAAGTTTTAGTTTTCAGCGGAGCAACCTTCGACCTGGATGCAACTAGATTGATCACGATCTTGCCGTCTAAGTACTTAGTACGTGCATAGGCCACGGCCGCATACGCCTTCTCCGAAGCATCTGCAAATACATGAAATTCGGTGTGCGCATTTGGGCTAATACCCAGCCAACGGTTTAATTTAAGGTTAGACAACAATCGAAGCTCGTCACGATGAAGGTACCAATCTTTCGCAAATTTGATCGGAAACCGGTTCGTCCCAATCGACATCAGTGCGCCAAATCTGCTGAAACCAAATTCTCGCCTTTATAGTGCAAGGCGCGATTAGACCGAGCGGATCGAAAGTAGTGCTGGCATCCGACAGGAAACCTCTTTTGGTGAGTATAGTAGGAGGTGTCTTAAGACTTACCGCATACGTCAAGTAATCGTGAGACGTGTTCCACGTTAACCCCAGCGTTTTCACTTCCTCGTTTTCAGCTAACAAATGATTTATCGGCGTTGTGGATGTTGCAATCTTATCCAAAAGCTGCTTGCAATTACTGGCCCACTTCCTCAGCTCAAATCCGCCTTCTAAGAGTAAATGAGATACTTCACTTTGACGCAACACAAGCTCGTCCGCGGTATGAGCTCCTGTAAGGAGGTCGTCCATATAGAAATCCCGTAGAATGATTTCCGCAGAGGACTGAAATTCTGCCATGTTATGCTTAGCAACTTGCTGCAACGCCTTCACAGCCAAGTGACTTGCAGCAGCTGTACCGTAAGTGAGACGAAGTATGCGATAGTCTTTCAGTTCTTCGGTTGGCGCATCTCTCCATACGATTCTTTGGAAATCCACATGCTTCTCGTGAACATATACTTCGCGGTACATTTTCGCTATATCGGCGGTCATGGCATAACGATGCATACGGAAACGCAATAGAATGGGAAATAATTCTTGTTGTAATGGTGGGCCAACCATTAATGCATCATTCAACGAAAAACCTGAGGAGGATTTCATCGATGCGTTGAACACAACTCTTAATTTTGTTGTTTCGCTTGTCTCTTTTAATACCGCGTGATGAGGCATGTAATAACAGGATGAAGGTCTATCACGGACGCACTCCATGTGAGCCAACCGCAACAGCTCATGCATGAACTCCACATAGTGCCGACGTAGGTTTTCGTTTGCAGCTAATCGCTTCTCCAGCCTGTAAAAACTGCGTAATGCGACAGAACGGGTCTCGCCTATAGGCACAGAAGGTTTTAGAGGTAGCTGCACAATGAAACGCCCGTCTGCTGCACGTTGGTGTGTTGAGTCGAAGAGATCTTCACAGAACTTTTCTTCGTTCGTGAGATGTTGCCGATGCGGGACCTGGTCAAGCTCCTAAACTTTGCTTAAAATCTTAACAAGGCCTACATCGCAATGTAGGCTCGGGACCTCCGCATGTGTAGTAATTGTTGGACTTCTGGTTCGTCCAAAGAGAACCCATCCGAGTGGTGTCCGCTGAGCCAGGGGTGTACCAGGAGGGCCTTTGCGTAGATCAGTAGTCAGAAAATGCTCCATTTCGTCCATACCGATGAGTATGTCGATGGGACCTGGTGTGGCAAAGTGCGGATCTGCCAGTGCAAGTCCTTTGATGTGTTGCCAATCTGCGACGCTCACGCAGGTCGTAGGTAGATCGCTAGTTATCTTTGGCAAAACTAAGGCGTTGATGACGTAAGACGGCTGTAATTGCGATGACGCGATAGTAAGGAGTACCTCACCCTTTGTCCTACCGCTTGGCGTAGAGCCTATGCCTGTGATCAGGATAGCTGATGATCTGCTTGGAAGACGTAGTTGTTGTACGCAACGCTCTGTGACTAATGAAGCGTGCGACCCACTGTCGAAAAGTATGCGCATAGCGTGCCAGCGGCCGGCGTAGTCACGTACATTGGCTACTGCGGTAGCCAGTAATATGGCGTTGTCTGCTTCGGCGTAGTGTGATGTCATGTTGCCACCCTGCGACCATACTGTTGTTTGTTGAACATCTCCGTTGGGCGCTTGGTCTTTAGCAGGTGACAAGAATGCGGATGTGCCACACGGTGGAAACTCTGTTAGCGGTAACGGTGCAGCTGGTGCATTATTACAATTGATGTCTGCTCCATTAGACTCCCGCTTCCCTGCAGGAGTAGTGAGCTCAGCTGCGCTTTGTGACGAAGCTAGCGCTGTTGTCGCAAGGGCGCTGTCGTGGCTTCGGTATAGCGCATTGACAGGACCAAGAGAACTAGTTGCTAGATGAGTATGCTTTTCGCTAGACACCCGGTTGGGTGCAGGTGCAGCGCATGATGCTGTATCAGCTGCCGCTGCTGATGTTTCGCAAGGGCTATTCGTGTTGTTGTAGCTTTCATGGAGTAGCGTGTGGTGCCGGCGACCACACCTCAAACAATTGGACGTGCTCTTGCAATTTGATGCTTTGTGATCCTGACGAAGACAGTTGAAATATGCTTCCCTTTGTTTGATGATTTGTGCTCGAGCAGGCGGGCTTAGCTCCTTGAAGGTGCTGCAGGCGTAGATTCTGGGCTGAGAAGAGCAGTACGTGCATGAATCGGCTCTTGAAGATTGCGTGTGGCAAGGCGAATGTCGATTGGATGAACTTGCCGCATGCAACACGGCTGCATTACTGCCCCTTTTGCTGGTTGGTCCGCCACTACCAGGTGCTAGTACCTCTAGCGATCGGCACCGGCTCTCGAGGAATGTTTGCTAGTCGTTGAATGTAGGCAGCTTATCATTCGTTAATGACAACTCCCACTGTTTCCGGGTTTCATGTGGAAGTTTAGATAACAGATAATATACTACCCAATCATCCCACGCCTCTACTGGCCGTTCAAGCGCTTGCAAAGCCCGTATGTTTTGCAACATTGAATTGAGAACGTGATTAAGTGTTTGTGCTGTTTCGTTCGTAACTGGCTTTATGTTGAATATTGCGCGAAAGTGACTATCAACGATGATTCGCATCACCTTATACTTTGAGCAAATCAGATCCCAAGCCACATGGTAATTTGCCTCCGAAATTGTTCGGTTAGAGACGACCTGCAGCGCCTCGCCTTGAAGGCAGCTGCGAAGATAGTGCAACTTCTGGTAGCCTGAGAGCGTCGTATTATCGTGCACCAATGCCTTAAACGAATCGTGGAATAGAATCCACCCAGTTGAGTCACCACTAAATTTGGGAAGCTCGATTCTGGGTAGGCGCACTTCCGTAGTCGACGTCTCGATAGCCTGTGTTACTGCCGTGGGTGTACTGGCGATAGGCAACGATGTTTGACTAAGCACTTGCTTGAAGTTACAAAGCGCCTCTACGTACCAGGCTTCTGCCTGCACACGCGCTTGCTCTTCAGCATCAATCGTTTCGACCCCACATGAAACCTCTACGCATCCTGTGCCTCCGTGAACTTTGCCCATTGCTCTTCTAGAAGCTTCACGTAGCCTTCAATTTTTGAGCTACTGAATCCGTTGGCATCGTTGATGGAAACAGCCAAGTATCTCTTGATGGTCTTCAACGCTGCATCGCGCAGTTTGACCGTCATGATCACGTGTCCAACGTAACCTCAAATTTGCAGGTTACGATGTAGTTGCTGCAATCGTTGCAACGATTTTTGGGCTTTTTACGTCGTGCAGTCGCGAGACTTTAAGATTAGTTAAATTATAAAAGTGGATTGTTTAAAGATATACTTCAGTCCCGACTGCGGAATCCGGTTCGATGGACCAAAATAATGTACGTTAATGTTACCAAGAGTTTCAAACTGGAATATGAAAAACGCGTGTGTTTCTGCTGATAGTCGCTCGTTTTATTATTTAGCAAGAAGGAAAGAATTAGAACAAATGTCATTTACAATGGTATGTTGTAAAGGTTGGCAGCAGTGCGTTATGAATCCAACAGTTGTATTTAGTATAAACTGTATTTTTTATAAAGGATAAAAAAGGTGCATGCATTGTGAAAAGTTCTCTGTGCTTTAGTTTTGATAAGTTTTTTGTTTTGTTGGCGTACGTTGTAATGATCTCGTGATCTCATGTTTTTATGTTTTTGTTGTTGTGTGTCAAAATAAGATTTTAAACTTTTCGCGCGCAATTTTTTCGAAGCGGAAGAGAAGGAAGCGAGAGGCCCCTCCCCCCCTTTCCCCCCAAAGTGTCACGGTTTGGCAACAGAGATATCTGGCAGCCCTACGCTGTAGGCCAATTTTGTTGAATTTCATTAGAGTTTTTTTTTATCAAATAAATACTCAAATTAGAGATCTTTATTAAAAAGTCAGTCGCGATGTGATTTCAAAAACCGCAATTAATATTTTAAACAGAAATTAATTTATTTATTGTATTTCGCTTTATTTTCTTCAAACTTTCCTTATTTTTTGATTTTCAAAATCATTGGCATCATTATCATGTCAAAAATTTACAAGGTTATTGCATTTACGTCATCATCCATAAATATCCAACAATAATATATTTGATATTATCTTTCACAATCAACCATTTTTTAATTAAAACACCAAAGCAAGTGATAAATTGATTTTATCGAAAACCCTCAAAATGAAATAATTCCTCAAAACAGATTTTCAGACTAAAATCTTTAGAACTGTCAAATTGCAAAATTACACTCTAAAGCGAGAGTAATAAATTAATTATGACGATAATTTTGATAATCGAAATAAAAAGCAAAGAAGAAGGAAAGTTTGAAAAAATAGTAGACAAAATAATTAAACAAAATATAATTATAATAATAGATTGGCGCTTACACATATGTTAGTGTTTGGCCGATCTTCTCCTCCGATTTGTGGCGTGCGCCTTGATGTTATCACACAAAGTGGAGGGACCTACAGTTTTACGCCGAGTCCGAACGGCGATTGTATTTTCATGAGAAGCTGTTTTTCATGGCAGAAATACACTCGGAGGTTTGCCATTGCCTGCCGAGGGACGACCGCTGTTAAGAAAAAACCTTTTTTCTATATTTTTTTTTGATGTTGCTTTGACCAGGGCTTAAACCCAGGTGCAGCGGAGTGGAAGCGCGCACTGCTTACCACCACACCACAGCGGCTGGCAAACAAAATACAATAAATAAATTAATGTCTGTTTAAAACAGAGACCGAAAATAACAGTTTTTATTTTTTAGATGTTATAAAAGTGCGGGGCAAAATATTGTGGTAAAGTAAAGTTATCAGTGTTCCTTCGATTCCAGCACCTCCTGCATAAGAATCCTAGATTTTTTTTGGGAAAAAGTGCAATAATGAAAAGGGACTGAAATAGCTTTCGAACAGAAATACTTTAACGAAGGTTACCAACTATTTGTATATTTTTTTTTATTATTTAATAACATTTGTTAGGTCAAAATAAAAGTCTTTACTTTTAAAACAGATGGCAACCCCATCAAAAAACCTAACAAAATATTTCAAATATTTCATATAATCCCCTCCAGCCGTTTCCGGCTGAAGACAGGTCTCGAGCACGGTGTCCGTTTTTCATTGCACCAAATTCCTAATCACTCTATATCGCTAAAAATGTTCTAGCCACAGTATATACAGTAATAAACCTTTTCGAAGTTTTTCACCAATTGGTCCCCGAGGAGTACTTTGGGTTGTGTGCAGCCTTTTCGTTTTGCGCGCACGGCAACACTAACTGTGGGGAGTTTCGCCTCATGATTAGAAAAAGTTCTTTTCGAGGATAAAATATATGTAATTATGTGTTATTTCTGAACAAAATGTAGGTGAAGTGTAATATCAATACCTAATTAAGAATAATAGCAATAGTTAAGAACATAATTAACGCTTGTGTTTCTTTAACCTGAAAAACTCAAATCGTAATTATTGCACTGAATAGAGTTTTCTTAAAGGTAAATTTAAAATTAAAAAAATATCCATTGTAAGATCATTTTTTTACGAAAAAAACGCGAATTTTATGTTAGTTTGTGAATTTATCAAGTAAAATGCTAAAATTTCGAATATATTGAGGTTTTTATTAAAAAAACGAGTTTTTTGTAGTTATAGAGACTGCAATTCCCGCCAATGCTTCTGCCAAGATAGCTCATTAAGCACACCCAAGTTTGAGCGACCATTACCCGGAGCTCCTCAGATATACTTAATATCGATTTGATCAAAGAATGTCACAAATATGAATCATACACACATACAATAGTAATTGCTATGAATTGCTACCGTATAGATTCAGAACATGCGATTTCTTGGAGACTCTATTGGTTATGGTGGTCATAACTTCAGCCACATTCAATGGTCCATTACCTGGAGCTGCTCCAACATGATGAGTAGATTTAAATGAGTCTTACATGCCACTACCTCTGGCTACAAGCTGTATTATGTATGAAATTCACTAAGAGAAAATCCTGTAAAACCTGCAAATCGTGAAGCATCTGGAACGCAACTTTTAAGTAAATTTGGTTTAAGTACTAGCGTTGTCAGAATTTAACAGTTCATTATCATTTACGGTCTAATATAACCAGTTAATGATCAGTATTAGTATCTATAGTAATAGAGAATAATTTGAAATTTTTTACACTGCTGTAATTAATTTCGGTCACTATGATATAGTCATGTCATGTGCCACTCTGGCATAGCACGGTTGTCGCTCCCTTTCATACCACAGTAAATTTGTATACAACTCTGAATCAACAAATTTCATGCTTCTTCTCATTAGGGTTGCCAGATTTTTTATGCGCGAAATCAGTACTTTAGACTTTTCCATGCTAAAAAAATCAGTACTTTTCAGTACACTTTTATTCAAAGCAAAATTGTGAATATAAATTACAGATAATACTCTAAAATGCCGGAGTACTTGTTTTCAACAATATTTTATTATAAAAATAAAATATTGTTCATAAAAACAAAAATGTCATTCATTTTAACATGAGTGAACACATAATTGTACACTGGAGCCAATAAATTATTTTATATTTATTACATTTTTGAATAGCAATAATCAGGTCACTTCCATTTTCAGTATTTAAGTAGTCGAAGAATTCTATACATTTCATTTTAAAATTACTTTTAATTTGAAGTGCACTTTCAAACATTTTAAATAGAAGCCGGTTACATATTTTTTCACACTGTGGAAAAGTACCACTATTTAAGGACTTCATCTATATTTCCTTATCGAAAGACTAGGAATTCGCTGAAAAGAGTATCTAACTCTATGTCTTGTATGCAAAACTCTTTTACAAGTAAATTGCGAAAAAAAGAATTATAAAGCTGAACTTACATGAGGCGATTTTCTAGGCGATTCAACTTTGCTCAAGAAAAATCGCTTGTGTAAATGATGATTCAAAAATTGCTTGCCTCAAAGTAGACAGCAAGTCAACTTTTGCAGGCGATTATCGCCTGTCATAAATCGTCTCATCTAAACGCAGCTAAAGTTATAGGCAAAAACCATTCGAATATTCAAATTTGCTGTTACCAAACTGCAAGATATTTTCGAGATAACTAACAACACTCGACGAAAAAACGTCAGCCTCCCTTTTTAATAATTTAAGCTTCGTCATATTATCGCAACTGGTACGTAACGACCCGGCGATATGCCCATAAATCTATTGATATCTTTGTTGTATTAATTTCTTGGGCATATCAAACATTGTTGGAAACATGTCAACTATATTTAAATTATTCACTTATTTTTTACAGTGCAGTTTAAGCAAGTCCCAACGTTATGTAAAAATATTATGGAAATCCTTAAGTATTTTGCTTGAATTAAAAATTCAGTACAAATCAGTACAAATTTAAAAAAATCAGGACTTTAGCGTACTGATTGAAAAAAAATGAGTAAAATCAGTACAAAAGTTGAAAAATCACGCTGCCTTAATTTTATAGGAGAGAGTAAAACTTGTCTTATTTCCAAACGGTTCTCTCATTTATCCCTAATTATCTCTTCTCCACATACCTAGGTTTCAATATTTGAGTATGAAAGGATAAGAGCTTGATGAGAGGAGCTTCCGGTGAGCAAATATCTTTTTTAGCACAAAAGTTAGTTTCGAGGTTTTGCAGAACCCCGGTACGCGGTTTTGTACTTTAAACGACGACATGTACATATGTACATACATAGTTATCTGCTTCTTCTTTATTGGCGCTGTAACCGCCTAAGCGATTTTGGCAGCGTCCAAAACAGCGCACCCTGTCATTTCTCTTCTGTGCCAACTGACGCCAATTGGAATTGCCAAGTGAAACCAAGTCCTTCTTCACCTGGTCTTTCCACCGTAGAGCAGGTCTTCTTCTTCCTCTGTTACCAGCATCGTGGCCCACGTTGAATACTTTCAGAGCAGGAGCGTTTCTGTCCATTCGAATAGTGCCACTGAATTTTAAGTCGCTGCCTATGTCTATATCCTTGTAAAGCTAATTCAGCTCATCGTTAAATCGTCTGCGGTACACTGAGGTAAAAGTCTGCGGTACGTCTGCGGTAAAAGAGGGCAT